TGTGCACATCTAACTGAATGTTTTTATTTTTGCCAAGTGCCCCCATTAAGGTTAGGGTGTCCCCAAATTTCATGCAAAACTGATTTGTAGAAAAAATAAATATAAACAATTAGGCATGACATTCGTCTATTTAGAACGAATAGTTAAGAGTAAGGGTTACAAATGTTTTATATATTGTAGGACTACATGTAAAGTTCCTCTTCAATTATTACTTTCTTATCAATATCCCTTGAGATTTCCTTCTCTTGTGGGAGGAAAAATCAACGCGATTGTTTTAGTCAACAATAGTTCTTACTGTCTACTTTCTAAACGGTCAAACCTAGTTGTTTAAGTGCTTAATCAGTTATTTAGTACACGTCATTGATTCTAAAATAAAAAGGATTGTTTACAAAGAGACTATTTATCTTTATTACAAGGAGATCACAACTATTCCCACTCACTAGATGTAAAATTGGATGGTTTCACGAAGTTCGAGAAATTGTTTTTTTTTTTAACTTTCTGTCTATTGTGTGGATATGTATCTCACTATCTCTTGATAAGATTAGGTATATATACGTATCTCTTGATAAGATTAGATGTCATTGTATAAGTATGTATCTCTGAATTATGATAAGATTAGATATATGATAGATGTCTATCCATAACTGAATGTATATTTATACATGTCTTGTATATTCTTAGATATATCAATAGACACAGAGCACAGGATCAGTATAAATATACAACCGAACCGGATCGAGCAAGAATAGATACCTATCATATAATATCAAGGGCATCTAATCTTATCCATCATAATCAAGAGTTACATATCCATACAAGGACACCTAATCTTATCACGAGATACATATCCATATGATAACATATTCATTGATATTCTTACAACCATCCATTTTGAAATTCAAGGGACAAGAAGGATTGTAACGTCTTTGTACAAAAGATAAATGGTCTATTTGTATATTTTTCCAAAATAAAATCCCAAAATCTTATATCAAGAAATAGGTCATTTACTCCATCTCATTTACTTGAGGGAGTAAATGCTAATCTTGCTTGTGGAGCACAATATTTATGGTATTTTTCTCTTGAAAGATAGAAGTTGAAATATCCTCTTTTCAAAAGGAGCACAGGTTTGTGTAAAGAAGTTGGGTAAACTCACCATTTCCTTTGCAAGAAACCCTAGCTTGTGCAGCATGAGTATATGTGTTAATGGTATTTTTCCATGGCTTGATACATCAAGGACACGGTTTAGACACTTTTGTAAATCCTTTAAAATCTGGCTACGGAGGTATTAATTTCACTTAATATCTTGCTTCTCCCTTTATCTGAATGATGCGTAAACATTATATTTAAAAAGCTAGTTTTGGGGTTGGCATTTATAGCACTCGTATTTGTATCAAATTCTAAAAAACTAATAGGAGATAGTTTACAATGCTCCAACCATAGAGAGAGAGAGAGAGAGAGAGAGAGAGAGAGAGAGAGG